TCCCACACTAGGTCCTGCCCCTAATAGCGCTTTAACCGCATTATCAATTTGTGTAGAACAAAATTATATATATGTATGTATTTTGAAAATCCTTAAATCTTTCACACACATGCATACATGCAAATTATTAAATATCGCTCAAGCGTATCTTAGGGCTCTATAAAAATATAAAAGAAAATGGCGTTTGTAATGTATAATATATCTTGGAATTGTAACAGATTTAAGCACAAATATTTGTAGAAAACTTATTTCTACAAATATTTGATCAATTAAAAAAGTATTAATATAAAAGTAGCTGGTGGAGGGTATTTAATATTCGGCTCAGCCGAATATAGCACTCTAACTTGTTTTAAATTATTTTTTTATTAATGAAAAAATGTTTTATTAAAAAACTGGATATTTTTCTTGGTATATTTTGAGAAAAATATCCAGTTTTTTAATAAAATTTAAAACAAGTTAGAGTGCTATATTCGGCTGAGCCGAATATTAAATACCCTCCACCAGCTACTTTTATATTAATACTTTTTTAATTGATCAAATATTTGTAGAAATAAGTTTTCTACAAATATTTGTGCTTAAATCTGTTACAATTCCAAGATATATTATACATTACAAACGCCATTTTCTTTTATATTTTTATAGAGCCCTAAGATACGCTTGAGCGATATTTAATAATTTGCATGTATGCATGTGTGTGAAAGATTTAAGGATTTTCAAAATACATACATATATAATTTTGTTCTACACAAATTGATAATGCGGTTAATGCGCTATTAGGGGCAGGACCTAGTGTGGGAGATATGACCAATTATAGGCGGATCATAAAAAATTCTTTAAGCCAAATTTCTGTACATAAAAGCTATATTACAGTCAAATTTTGTATCTATATCGTAATTTAGTAATAAGTAATGTGTGTTTAAGTAATTTTCTGTTATGAAACGATCGTGAAAAAATCTTGAAATATATTTTTTGTATACAAAACTAATATTTGTGCCAATTTTTTTTATGGGTATCACTATTTGATAATGAGTTATGTGTCTTTAAGTGTTTTTCTGAAAGGGACTTGTATGGGAGCTATGATCAATTATGGACCGATAGGAAAACAATTTCGCAGTAATATTTCTGTGCATATGAGCAATACTTGCACAAAATTTTATATGGATACTAGCTAAAACCCGGCGTGCTTTGCTACTCCTGTCGATATAAAATAAAAAATTCTCAAAATATATTGATATACATTTTTTGTTTATAAGAATTTTATTAATATTTGTTTGTCACTATCCCAAACCACAAAGTAATAAGACAAAGAAAGTTTGATATTTAATGTACTTTATTAATTAATGATATTTATGTACATATATTATTTCTTACAAGGAGGATTTTATTTCATTGATGCGCCAGGAGGAACCAGAAAAACCTTTCTCATCTCATTAATTTTAGCTAAATTCGATTACCAACTTTTAGATGGAGGCAGAACTGCGCATTATGCACTCAAATTACCGTTGAAAACACAATTTTCTGAAGATTATGCATGTAATGTTAAGAAAAATTCTTCAATGGGTAAAATCCTGCAAACATATAAAATAATAGTGTGGGATGAATGCACCATGGCGCACAAAAAATTCTTAGAAGCGCTTGATCGCACTTTAAAGGACATGAGAAGTAATTCTAATATATTTGGAGGTTAATTAATTCTTTTAGCGGGTGATTTTCGCCAGACACGTCCTGTGATACCTGGCTCAACACCGGCTAATGAACTCAGTGCTTGCCTGAAATCATCATATTTCATATTTATTTTACTACGCTTGACTTGGCAAAGGGGTTTCATCAGGTGGAAATTGATGAAGCAAGTCGTTTAGTTCGTACTCATTGTCTTGTTTATTTGGATGACATCATTGTCTTTGGTACCTCATTGCAAGAACATGTAGTTTCATTGGATAAGGTATTTATGCGGTTAAAGGAAGCGAATTTAAAACTACAGATACATAAATGCGAATTCATGAGATCGGAGACAGAATTTTTAGGACACATTGTGACTTCGAATGGCATAAAACCGAATCCAAAAAAGATCGAGCTCTTAAAAATTTTCCAATTCCAAAAAATGAGAAACAAATCAAACAATTTCTAGGGCTTGCTGGATTTTATCGGGAATTTATAAAAGATTTTGCAAAAATATGCAAACCCCTAACCACTTGTTTGAAAAAAGGATACAAATTTGATTGTTATAACAGCGAATATGTTAAGGAATTCGAAACAATAAAACTACTAATATCAAGTGACCCTATATTGAAAAGTCCAGACGAACATGAGATAAACTACTCTGCTACAGAGAAAGAACAGAGAAAGCGATTGTTTGGGCAACCAAATACTTTCGGCACTACCTATATGGTAGGAAATTTACCATTAACAGTGACCACAAACCCCTGCAGTGGTTGCATAATTTAATAGAACCCAACTCCAAGTTACAGAGGGGTAAAATAAAGTTAAATGAATATGACTATGATGTGAAATACATTCCGGGGAAAGAAAATAGAGTGGCCGATGCCCTATCGCGAATAAATAATTTCGAATGTCATATGAATGATATAGCTTCTGACATGGCAACCATACACTCAGCAGATGAAGACAATTCTAACTTTATATTCATAACAGAGAGACCGTTAAATGTTTTTCGTAGACAGTTTTTATTTAGACGAGCTCCTTTGAAAAAACAAACACTAAAAATTATATTTAGAAATACTAGAACTATTATAGACTATTTAAATTATTGCAGGAAAAATTATTGCAGGATATAACATCTTATGATAGGTTCAAAGAAATAATTTTGACTATACATTTGAAAGGGTTGCATCACGGAATAGAAAAAATACAAGCAGAATTTAAGAAAGGAACAAGAGACATACCTGATAAGTATAATGAACTCATAATAAAGATTAATAAAACAGAAATTCAATTAGCATATGAATTAATAGAAACAGAATTTAATGAAAATGAATTTTTGCAGACAACCATGATTAGGAGATACCTTAAAATAGCTGACGCTGAAAGGAAATTGTTCAACATTAGACACAAACGCGGACTTTTCAACGCTTTAGATAGTGGAATTAAATTTTTGTTTGGAACTCTTGATGACGAAGACAGACATGAAATTCAGAGCCGATTGAAGACAATAGAAGATAGCACGCTAACACAGGACGACATTAACAACATTTTATATCACATAAACAACGAAACTCAATTTATTAAAAATTTGAAAAATGCCACTAATGTATTACAGAATCAGATGGTTAGGAAGGTAGTATCGGATGGATTTTTGGATAACATCAAAAGTTATTACGAACATTTAAAAGACATTCAATTAGGACTGACTTTAAATAAACAAGGCATTCTAAATCCGAAATTAATAGACCCAGATAAAATTTCTTAATTAAATACAAATCATTTAGAATATATTAAAACTTCCTTATGGCAAGGGCAGGACGTGTTGTATTTCATAGTTCACATTCCTAATACAATCAAATCTTATCCCATTTTAAAAGTAGTTCCCTTTCCTTCACGTGACAATCATTTTGAGTTGAATTTTGACATGAGTAAGAAAATAACAAATATTGATAATTTGCTTTATGAAATAAAAGGTTCAAAGATAACATTTTTAGAAAATAAGTGTATCAGGAATTTGTTAAATAAAAATGAAAGTGAATGTGAATTCTTAATTAAACATGAAAAAGAAATAAATTTTATTGAACACAGCTTTATCATATCTTTATCACAAAAATATTAATGAAACGATTTTGAAACAAACTTGTAATGATTTAGAACTAAGAATAAAAAATCACAATCTGATCTTTTTTTCAAACTGTAAAATAAGCATTAATGAACTTGTTTTTGAATCCTTTAATGATAATAATAATTTTTTGTATGTTCCATATGTTAATGATATCGTCAATAAGACATTGATAGAATTACCTAACGCTACTTTAAGTGAATTAAAATTAACCCTACATAAAATGAAAAGGGGAAACAATATTACTTATGTAATTTTAACAGTTATTGTGATTATATTAATTTTATTAATAATGTTCCAATATTACAAAAAACATGATATAAATAGTCAGGATATTCGCGAGGACGCGAATGATCTTGAAGGGGGGAGAAGTAGCATAAGAAACTTATTTCCATAGATTTATTCCCATAGATTTAGTTGCTGATTTTTGCTTTTATTTGTTTCCCAGACGTAATAAAATACTTTTTGTAATTTGAGTTTTTGTAATTTAGTTTACTTTAATTGTATCTAGCTTTAAAAATTTTATGAAAAATAAAATTAGATTAAAACCAACCACCAAATAAACAGGTTGTTTTTTTTTTCGTATTAAAGAATGTAAATCTCAAATACGTTACTTACAAACAAACACACATTAATTTTTATATATAGATAGATAGACTGAACATAAAAATATAAAATTGGACACGCAGCTTCCTGATTGTATAAAAATCTGAATGTGACGAATTTCTGGTTGAAAATTAAACATGCATCATCTTGATTTAATGAAAATTCATAAAAAATGTCTGGTACTTTTTCGTTCTTCGTCTCTTTTTTTTAATTGTCTGTAATATTGAGACTAGAATCATAAAATCAAATTTAAATTAAATTATAAAACTCGCGATTTATTCGTTTTGACTCGAATCACGAGCGAGTTCTATCTAACACTCATTAATTTTTCAACTCTTTTCGCGAGCTTAATTTTTAAACTCGTGAGCCAAAAAGATTTATTCGCGAGAAAATTAATTGGATCGAATGCAATTCGCTATCCGTATCCTAACTTTTTCATTAAAAAAATTTACAGTTTGTTCTGGAATCAATTCCCGGAAATAAATAAGCCCGAAAATTTAACACATTAAATTTGTTACTGCGCTAAATAGCAATGAATATCTCTTAATTTTTATGTTTATAGGAAGGATCTTACCATAATGTTTTCTCAAACTTAAAACACGTTAACATGTTTTATTTTTTAACAAATAATTAATACAAATTGGCGCATTGTTAGCTGTTTTTAATTTGTAGAGTACAACTGTTTTAACAGAGACTTTATAATAATTATTTTTTATATAATTAGGCAGGTAAATTGGGTTAACTCTTAAGTTAATAGTTAACTAAATGTTTATAGCACTATTCAAACAAACTTAGAAATATAACTAATTGTATATTGAATGTGCTATTATATTTATTTAATTAATATCCAGCACCATTTTATAATACGTATAATACACAATTTAGTTACCAGTATTACTTTTCTTTTGTATTTTAAATAACAACGTAAGTGTGATTTTAATTCCTACCAAAAATAATATTTTATTAATATTAGCTTAAACTGTATTAATAATAAAATGCGGGAGACTTAGTAGGAAACATATAACTTATTTACAAATTAATGGATTTGTTCATAATGTATATAAAAATTAAATTAATTATTGAACTTAATTATTACATACGAGAGCAAAATTTTAAAACTGTTGGTTACTGCAGTTTTTGGTAACCTTTTATTTGATAAATTTGTAGGATTGTAGTTTAGTTGAGTTGTAGAACTTTGAAAATTTTAATCAAATCGGGTGATAAGTTTTAAAAATTTACAGTTAAGAAATTATATTTTCTTAGTAAAATATTTATTGAAAAATAGTTTTATTTATTAATGGCAAATTTGTATGTTTTCAACATTCTTATTTCTCCTTTTTAATTTTGTTTAACAAAATCAAATTATTCTTTATGATGTTTCTTACAATAATTAGAATGAAACAAATATATATCTTCCACAGAATCTGAGATTTGAGTCCATTTTTAAATATTTTGTAACATTTATTAAAGGTTGTAATAAAATTGGGAAATATCAAAACTTCTCAAAAATCAATGCTTTAATAGCGTTAAAACAAAAATATTAGGAAAAACAAAGCAGTCTCTTTTTTAATTCAAGTTAAAGTATTTTACTGTTCATTTTTCAATTTTAATCGTAATTAAAAAATTGACTCAATTGTAGCAATTGTATAGTTGGAGTTTTCGTTTTCGGGTTACTCAATGTCATCACTTTTTATTTTCCAACATACTTGTTGTCCCCAGTTCCAAAACAAAAATAGTGTAAGAACAAGTTAAAGTGCTTTATTCGGCTATGTTGAATTTTAAATTTGAAAATTGAATTATATTCAAATTTATCCGACAGAAGAACTCATACCAGAATATATGTACATACATACGTACGTATATAGTTTGACGGGAGTCAGATGGATATTTTTCAATGTTACACACGGAACAATAAACTTAAATAAATCCTCTATCACCAGTGAGGGTGGTGGATTGCTTAAAAAGGAGAAAGAACTTATTTTAAACTAAGATTTGAAAGAAATTTATTTTTTATTTTAATTTTGTCGATATAGTGAAACAAATCACCTCAATGTTGTTGTATAATTTTTGAATAATTCCTATTGAATAAAGTATGTTCTTTGATAACAAACTACCAGTAATTTCGGTTAAAGTTTTAATAACATTAAATTGCATATTTCCATTTCCGCTTAAAAATTAATTAAAAAACTCTGACACTACCTTGTACATACATACATATATAAATGAAATTTGAGATCAGCGTATGTATTTTCTGTATATGAATTGTAATGTAATACGTATTTATGAAATCGCTTAACAAAAAACAAAATGCTAAAAGCACCAAAAAAGGAGTAACAAATTATTTGTGCTGCTCTTATACGGTGTAGGATATTATATAGTCGATTTTCACCGACCACTTTTGTCTACCTTACTCTAAAAATAAAATTTTTTATGTGGTTGTAACTGATTGCAGTGAACTATTGATTTGATTGTGTTCTGAGGATGAAAAAACATTAGGATTTAAAAGTTCTGATTGATCCATGTTCGCTTTTACGGTAGAAAACTCTTCTGAAGTTGTTGGTAATGTTGATGAAGTTTTCTTTGTTGGACTTTCCATGTTGTGTAAAGATGCAGAATGTTTATGATCTTCGGCGGAATTAAATTGCAATTGGTAATGTTGCTGTTGTTGTGAGGTTTTTTGTTGGTGCTGTCTTATTAAATTTAGGTATTGCTGATGCTTAATCTTGTCCCTCTCACAAGGATCCTGCAGAATTGTATCTCCTATACACAAGGTGGCAGCAGTTGAATCATCATGTACTAGATGCGCCTTATTTTGCTGTTGCTGAATTAACTGCTGCTGTTGCCGCCTTTCTTTAGCCTTCTCGATGTGCTTTTTACGTTCTTCTTTTGTCCAGTAACGACCAGTTTTAATTTCAGATATGGTGTCGTCCTCTGTTGTAGTTATGTCGTTCCGTAAACGCTCCACATTCATACGTGAGTTACGATCTTTAATTACTCGATTTTTTGCTGGTCTTCTTACAATATAACGTGTACCATCGGGTCGCCGTTTCACTTTCCAAACCATTGTCTCCTCTTCCTTTTTAGGATTATTGGCGATGGTTGAGGCTACAGTGGTGGAGGATTTTGGCATTTTGTTGTTAAGTGACAAATTGTTTACCTGCAAAAGAAAGTAATGGGATTGAAATTGTGTATATAATACTATATCAAAAATTTACATAAACATTAGGGTGATCGACTCGGTTTTATCGATTTTTTAAAATTGGTGAACTCGGTTTTTTGATAATTGCTCATTTCCGAATAATCCGGTTTTCCAAAAGATTTTTACAATAATACAAGTTTTCAAATATTTTTTGTAATATTAAGCATATTATTTTATATACTACTTTTCCGATTTTTTTTAAAAGATTTATTATGGAAAGTTTTAAAATTTATTAATATTTTATGCACTTTACATAACTTAAATAAACTTAAAGTAAATTATTAATCAGAATTGACATGCAAATATTGAAATTCTGTTGCCAAAAATGTACACATTCATATACAGTAGTGGTCAAAACATTCCACAGTGGGACGCCGTAATTTTAATATATTTTAATATTTTTTTAACAAATCAGTAAAAATACATTAAAAGGCATCTTTTGTATAAAAAAATATAGTAAAAAACAGATTTCTTTTGAAAATAATTATATGGGGAAAGCAAGGGGAAGGGAAGGCGATTGTGAATAATAATGGTAAAAAAATACAAAAATGGCTTAAGTATATCCAGATATTCAAATCAGAACCAAAATAGATAAAAATTTTGATATACAAGAAATATATAAAATATACACTTTATTCTGTCCGACAAAAAAGTGGATTTACTTTAATTTTAGATGTTATACAGAAAAATTTTAGGTGGAATAAATTTGTTTTATTGTTATTTTTGTAACATTGTCTATAACCTAATTAAATTTAAAAAAGATTCATATTCAATAATCAGTTAACAGATTTTTTCGCTGAAATAATATAGCATGAGCATTTTTGCACTTTATTTTGTCCGATAGTGTATATAAATTAATCATTCCGTGTGTAACACCAAGAAATATTCATCTGAGACACAACAAAGTATATATCCGGGTCCTTATCAAATTCTGAGTCGATTTAGCTATGTCCGTCTGTCTGTGCAAAACACGCTCACGTAAAAACAATGCTAAATAAATTAATGAAAATCGGCCAAAAGATTCTCTTTTGTCCTCTTTTGGTATTGAAAATGAGCAAAATCGGTTTACATAGGAAAGAGTTATGAATCAAAATTAAAAAAAACTCCGAAAAAATTAAGCCTATTTAACACATTCTAAAACAGTTTTCACAAAAACTATGCCATAGAAATGATACTGTAATTTTTTTGCCGTGATCGTTCCTTATTTGGTCTTAGCTCCCATACAAGTACACCTCCTGAAAATCACTTAAACACACATACCTCAATATTAAATAATGGTATCAATAAAAATGTTGGCACAAATATTGCTTTTATATATAGAAATTATACTGTAAAATATTTTCACGATCGGTTGGTCATAGCTTCCATACAAGGTCACCTCCCAAAAATCACTTAGAGGCACATAACTCATTACCAAATAATATATAATATTGTTTTTATATATAGAAACTAGCTATACACAGTGTGCTTCGCTACCCTCATCGTAATGAAATAAAATAAATATTATTGTAAATTTTCAGTCAGTCCAATATACATTTATGTGTATCTGCAATATCAAAAAGTCCTCTTTTATAGATTTTCATGCAGGTTCCTGGGTCAATATTTCATAGATTTTCAATCAATATTGATTGATTATAGTTTCAATATTACAGGAAACTCAAAAAATATCAGTTGAAGAATGAAAATATAGATAATACAGAAAATATACAGTAAGTCCCATTTTAGATTTTAGTTGAATAAGAATGCTGCATGTTAAATTTTCAACCAGAAGCTCCTCTCATACAGATTTTTATACACTCAGGAAGCTGCGTGTCCAATTTTATATTTTTAGATTCAATATAATAGACAATTCAAAAAGTATTATTAAAAAAAAAAGTACCAGAAAGTCTCTTTTTATATATTTTCGTTGAACCAGGACACTACGAGTTTCATTTTATGTTTATACATATATTCAATATTTTAGAAATCTCAAAAAGTATCAGTTAAAGCAGCGGTTCCCATCGTTTTTTACTTCGCGGACCCCTTGAGGAATTTATTTAATTTCACGGACCCCCATACATATTTTGATATCTTATTGTTATAAATAACACTGTGATACAAAAGTGAAGAAAAAGAAAATGCAGGCGTTCTCATATACCAATTCTATTTCGTTATAGTCCATAGAGTACGAATATATTTTTAGTTTTCCCCTATCACTTCGTTAACTTACTTTTTAAGAGCAAAAGATGCGAAAAAGAGCCATTTTTGAAGTTTTAAATTTGAAAAATCATAAGTTTAGTAGTTTTCATCCGATTTTCAAATCCAATATTTTTTTAATGATACAAGTGTCTTTTAATCCAAAAAAAGAAATCCAAAATTTATGGTAAAATGTCTGAGTTACGGTCGTTTAAGTAAAAAAACTCACACTTTTTTAAAAAATTTTCATTTTCATCATGCTCTACTTTGACCATGAGGCAGTGAGTTCATCTTTTATTACTTTCCTGAAGAATCACATAAAGGAAGGTTTTTGAAACTTGTTATTTCATAAAAATCTATGAAAAACTGGATGATTTATGCCAATTTTTCTAATAGCATGTTTCTCGAATTTTTGGTTTTCTCCATACAAATTAATTTTTGTATAAAAATGTTTATAAACATTTTTTAAACTTGTTACAAAGAAAACCAGAAACATGAACGTTTTTGTATGGAAGAAATATGCTATATTTTTATAAAACTTAGCACAACTCATAACCTTTTTCATCGATTATCATAAATTGACCATCATTGGAAACCCAACTTAATGTGCCTTTTTTCAAATGTAATAAAAGCTAAAGTTACTGCTTCATGGCCAACGTAGAGCAGTATGAAAATTAAAAATTGTGAAAAAAGTGTGAGTTTTTTTACTTAAATGGCCGTAACCAAGACATTAATCATATATTTTGGATTTTTTTTTTTTTTTGGGTTGAAAGACAACACTTGTATCTTTAAAACAAAATATCCAATTTGAAAATCGGTTGCAAACTACCAAACATATATATTTTTTTAAGTTAAAACTTCAAAAATAGCTCTTTTTCACAACTTTTGCTCTTAAAAAGGAACTAAACGAAGTGATCGGGAAAAATTAAAAATAAATTCCTACTCTATGGACTATAACGAAATGGAATTGGTATATGAGAACCCTTGCATTTTTTTGCTGTATCACTGTGTAATTGTTCGTCCGAAAATTGTCTTAGTCCTGGTCCATAAACCCTATAAAATATTCCCGTACATTGAGAACATTTAGTATTTCGGAGATGTTTTCAATTTCATGGTTTTAAATATAGAATGACTTCTAACATGATGTTTAATTTTATGATCGTGAGAGCTTTCATGTTCATTTCTCGTCAAGGTAGAGAAAAGGTTTCTTTAACAAGTATTGTCGACATGTGCTTAAAGAGTCATGTTTCTAAATTTTTTTGCGATTGCATAGGAGTGAGCTGAGTATGTAAGCTAAGTTTTCGGGAAAATATGTGAAAGTTAGACTTCTTCGATGTTGTTGCGGAATGCGTTACCCACATAAAATATGACCTGAACTCTTTGCGAATGTACTGTGAATTTGGATCTTAAATTTGAATTTTAAAATACCTACGAATTATTTTACTGCGTGGTTTTGACTATTTACGCAAAACGCTATGAATTTTCTGATGTTGATTTAATAATATTGGACAACAAAATTAAGTTAAAATCTGTGTATCACGTTGGAATGGAATATTCATATTTAAAATTAACCAGATTAACACTTTTGCTTACAATTTAAAAAAATATTATGAAATGTGACCTAACTTCATATTCCGGGATACCAGTATCAGTATTTAATTCTAAGGCAAATCATTATCCGTCTGCTATAAAAACATTTATTTCGATACATATATATTTATAAAAATTACAAATCACGTAATACTTTACTTTATAAAAGTGAAACAATAAATTTGTAGCTCCTAGCTTCATCCTGATAAACGACCGAAACAATAAAATTCAAAGAGTCACCAACAAATCTGGGATTATTGAATAAAAATTGTGTATTTTAGTATTTATGAAAAATTTGGAGATATTTTTAATATTTTGTAACATATAGAGAATATTTTTTATTCATGATTTTTTTCGTTCGTCTTTGCGGACCCCCTAGGATTTTGCTACGGACCACTAGGGTCCGCGGACCCCCTTTTGGGAACCGTTGAGTTAAAGGACGAAAACATACCAAAAGACATCTTTATTTAATTTCATGTTTCTATATTCAATATTATCGAAAATTCAAAAAAAAAAAAAAAACTGTTAATGAACAAAAAAGTACCTGAAGTACCATTAGTCCCTGAATGCTTAGTTATGAGTTTCTATATTTAATATAATTAAAAATTCAAAAAGTACCAGTTGACGAACGAAAAAGTACCAAATGGTTCTCTTTTATAGGTTCTTATTTAATCCGGGATCTAAATCCCTAATTTTATGTCTCTAGGTTCAATAATATAGAAAATTCAAAAAGTACCTATTAAAGAACGAAAAAGTATCAAAAATTACCCTTTTACAGGTAATCATGCTCCGGTCTCTACATGCTTAATTTCAAAAAAGTACCTTTTGAAGTACGAAAAAGTACCTTTTATTTACGTTCTCACTTACTTCGGGCTCTACATGCTTAATTTCATGTTTCTAGGTGCAATATTATAAATAATTCAAAAAGTACCTTTTGAAGAACGAAAAAGTACCAAAAATTCCCATTTTATAAATTCTCACTTCCTCTGGGCTCTACATTCTTAATTTCATGTTTCTAGGTTCAATATTATAGAAAATTCAAAAAGTCCCCTTTTATTCGTTCTCACTTACATTGGCACTACATGCTTAATTTCATGTTCTTAGAAAATGTTTTTATAGAAAATTCAAAAATTACCTTCTAAAGAAAAAGTACCAAAAACTCCCTTTTATAGATTTGCATTAACTACAGGCTC